GACACCAGAATTAAAATTTGGAAATGTTATCAACCAGAATGCAATTCGATTTTTTAGATTTCCAGCAAAAATGTTCATTTTCAGATTGCTGAAACTGATTTTATGGGAAAATGATTTTCAATTAGACTGATTTTGAGCGAAAATAATTTTGAGCAATCTAGTAATCCAGAAAAAAAAAGTGCATGCAGTGGGTCTCCGCCGGGGCCATGTGAGGGCAGTGCCCAGCAGAACACCTGCATGACAGAAGCCCCACAGAATCCTATCTTGCCAATTTCCTTGCCCTTTCTCATCCCCTTCTTCTGATTTTTGGGAACATGTGCAGGCTCTCCGAGTCAGCATTAAATTATCTGGTTAAATTATTGCATCATGCATTTCCTTTATTCATGCAAACATCTCTCCAGAACAACAGCTTAACGGGAACAGTTGCCTGACCACTTTTTGTGAAAGTTTTCATTCAAATGGTTCTTGTGACCATTCTGTGCAACTTGAGACCATAAAATAAATACTATTTGGAAGAGAATTGAATAAGCTTTCATTTGGTGTTTTTTTTCATTGCCACATACCAATTTGCTACCATTTTATTTCAAGTAAAAAAATTGGTTCACTTTGTGTATGGCACAGCCTGTAGTCTGCGTACAATTTAAGCGAATATGCTGCATTACAGCGTCTTTTTTTTAATTTTCTTCCGAAATTTTCTCGACAAATTTGATTTCAAGTAAAAAAATTGGTTCACTTTTTGTATGGCACAGCCTGTAGTCTGCGTACAATTTAAGCGAATATGCTGCATTACAGCGTCTTTTTTTTAATTTTCTTCCGAAATTTTCTCGACAAATTTGCTGAAGATTCATTTTTGGGGCTTTGATATACTCACTGGTATTCATTCCAATGGCATCGGAGAAAACTGTGGAACACACAAAAATGATGATCCCGATCCGGGGAGTCATTGTGCGTCAATAATATGGCAAGGGTTTTTTTCGCGAAGCGTCTCGACAAAAAGTCCTCAAGTTCTGCACTCATGCGCTTCACTTCCGTTCCCACCTGTGTTTCAGTCGAGAGATTTCAGAAAAATTGCAAATTAAATTTTCAAATTTATAGGAAAATGAAGTCCTTTGAATGGAAATCGGAACTATACTACGAGTATCCCACGGGCGTCAACGCCGAATGACGATCACTAACTGATTTACGTCAGGGGACCAAGCAGCAGCAAAAGTTTGATCCTCCCCTCAATGTGCATCAGAGTGTGTCGGAATAAGGGAAGCTTCTTTTTTTCCATCACACCATAAAAACATGCCATATGTCAGTTCAAAAGCATCGGTAGACAATTCAGCTCAGCTACTGATGAGGCATTCATATACTAAAGTATGCATCACTTGAAGTGACAATAAAGTCATAACGATGCGCCTTGCATGTATTTCAAGAAAATTCTGCTACACCGAGTTTTTGGTAAAGAGAAATATTTCAAAGATTCTGGCGGACATTCACTGAAACATGCAGTGCTGATACAGTGAGACCACCACATGCGGACTCCTCAATCTGCGGAAATTTCGACATCGGACACTTATTTTCCCAGAAAAAAATAATAAAAAGGCCCAGCATGAGGACACTGACTTGGCATAGGGACATTTTGTGATAAAATTGCAAATAAGTTTCAAACCAGATTACAAGAAACACATATTTCCATTAAAATTGATGCAATAAAAGTTCTTGGGCATTTCTCTCACCAATTTAACATTCATTTAGCTAATTTTAAAAAATTACCTCCATCATAGAGGGACTTCTACATTTTTTTCACTTGATTGTTATTTTTGTAGATGCCAACATTTCAATGTGCAGTACAGAGATACACTATTCAATGCTCCAAATGTTCTCATTGAGTTGAAAATGTATTCACTAATTAAAATTCAAGTGGCAAACCATTTTTTTCAGGGAATTCTGAAGAATATTTCTTCCATAAAACACCAATTAAAAATTATACAATGTAAGTCTATGGAAAAACAAGACTTGACTTAGGGACAATTCAACTTAGGGACACTCTTGATGCACCACTTATGTCCACATCTTGAGGTCTCACATGAAACATCTGCTGATGATGGAAAATTTATTGTATTCAGCACAAAAATGGATTTTCCAGTTAGTTTTACGCATTTATCATTGCAATTCTTGGAATGTCGTAATTTAGCTCAATTTTAAAAGATAAGAAATCCTTCAATAAAAATCGAGAAGAATATTTCTGCCGTAAAAAATAAAACTTCGAATTAATAAATTTATCCGACAGAGGTTCTTGCAAAAATTTAATGTACCCTGAAGAAGCTTTTTAATCAATTTCTGCTACACTGATCTCATATACTTGAATAAGATTTTCTTGACCGCAATGTTCTACTTTTGCTATAAAAAAAGCGTTGATTTGAAAGAAAGGACATCTAACGTTTAAAATTTACTCCTGTGGGAATATTGAAATACTGTAATTACTTTTAACATTCTGGCAATTTATCTCGTTGGTCCCTTTATATACACGTTTTTTGTAACAAAGGTTATATCAGCGCTGTGTATATATACGGAGCATGAGTAATTTATACTCCGTAACATTTGATCTGACTCGACATTGAAAATATTTTTCATTATCTCTTTATTATAACATTTGTATATACATGTTTTCAACACGTTTCAATGTCTCAATCAGGCCAAAACATTTTCTGTTGCAACTAATGTAAACGCATCAAACAAGCGCATTACCCCGTGATGTAATCTTTGGATTATTTAAATCATTAATATTTAAATTATTTTAAATTGCATCGAACTTCATAATTTAAGAACTGGCCAGAGAATAACTGGAAATTATTATGAAGGGGGTTGTTTACTTGGAAATTAGGTGACGAGGTTCAATTATAAATACAGAATACTGTATTGCACAAATGAAAGGCAATGATGGCGCGACTATTGCTGTGAATATTCAACAGAAGTGCATGTGCTTCTCAATTGTACATAATTTTTTATTGTGTAAATAACTTCTCAATTGCTGCAATAATAAATTCTTGCAATAATAAATAATAATGTCATTGAGTGGATTTGGGTTGGGTTTGAAGGGGGGTTTGGTTGTGGAAATCTTGAGTGAACCTTGTGAATGCTGAAAAGCAGCAAATAAAGTGTTCTGTTCATTCATTCATTCATAATAAATTCAATTTTTCAGATTTTGCTCGAACTGATAAGTTATCTAGCCGGCGTTCAACTGCTCTACCCACATTTGAGCAGGACGTTCGAGACCCTCGTATACTGTATTGTGCGCGGTTCAACATCTGCCATGGCCGTGATTTCCTCCCCCACTCTTTTCGTTTTTCATTTTTGCATTGATTTCACGGGGGAATTTCGACTGTTGGAAATTATAATTATTCGTGTGTGCGTATAGTGTTGGAAAGAAAGAGCAGATAATATATAAAAGGGCAATAATATAGTTTCATCCACACCCACCGCCAGTATGGGCAAGCAAATGGGGTGATGATGCTCCTTCAACCATGACCTGATATCATTTCTGCTGAGCTTCCACCTGTTTTTAGGGTTTTGCACCAGGAACACCTGACTCAGGTAGGTGTACAGATAAATCCAGTATATAATTGGCCGATTCTGGTAAATGCGAGGCGCCTTTTATTATTTGCAGCAAAAACTGATTTGGAACCCCCTCATCATAAAAAATTGTTTATGAGCATGCATGCAGAATATTTACTGTGAGCCTACTTGGAAGAATTGGTGATTTAACAAACTCAGATACACTATCATTTCAATAACCAGGACTCCGCAAAATAGTTGAAAAGAGATTTTAAATAAAACTTGATTGATTATGAATTACTAGCAAATACGAATTCCGATGTATACCGTATATATGTATGTTCTCTAACATGATTATTATACATGCTGCTCAGAACAATGCTACTTCCCATATTATAATGTAGTTACCATGCATAGTAATAAAATTTAATTTGGCCAGATATGCAACTACAGTACATGAACACTATGAAAATTAAGTTTCAGCAAAAATAAATTAAAATTTCACATGCTTCAAAAATTAACCGCAAGGGTAGTATATATGCAATGTACGTATTCAATGTCACATTTGTACTTGTATCATTACTTTTCGCTGCAGTCACACATTTATTTGCTGGGTCATATTTTAGAAAGGCAGAATGTAATTTTATAGCACAATCCTGTAAAAATAAATCTCAGTACAATTGGACTTGGTGAATGCAGAATTAGCCAAAATGTAAGTTTGAGTTTGTATCTTATTAATTCTCCAAAAATGCATCATTAGCATGCATGAGTTGCTTCACACAGAATATAATCTAGCACTCTCCCATTGTGAAAAGTGTTAGCTGAAATTTGAACTTCATGTGGAGAATGTACTCTGAGTACCATATGCACATCATTGAAAAAATCCATGTTATAGTACTGTATAGTACGAGGGTGTCAGAATCGGTACAGTAATAATGAGAAAATTTCGGGAAAATGTTCTTTATACCATTCTCTCATCCTGTATCATGTTATATGCCTGCATCAAGTGGGCAAATATTTCAACCTATCAGTTATGTATTTGAATACTCTCTCTTCAACAATTTTCTTGGCAAACCAAACTATTCTGGTCTCATAGGAATCTTTAACCATGTTGTAGGGGTTCTATACAAAAAATCTGTTCTGGTCCCTCAAGTTTTGTTAGAGTCCACCTGTACCCTTTCACAGTAATCACATTTTTTTTAGAAAACGCGTATTTATGTTCCTTTTGTTGAAAGGGTATCCAGATCCACTGTATCAAATATAGAATTTCATACTGTACTGTACTGTATGGTATTTTGATATAACACGGGGAAGTGCTGAATCTTGTTCAAGTATTCCTTATGCATACTGAATTTCATATTGTACTATACTGTATGGTATTTTAATATAATACGGGGAAGTGCTGAATCTTGTTCAAGTATTCCTTATGCAGCTGTCACAATAATACTGCAGAACTAAGCTTGATGATGAAAAGCTTACTTTAATTTCTGCACACACACACGCACATTCAGACACACACGCACAGAAAACGAGTAAATGGATTTTGGATCAACTAGGTGTGTTCCCTTGGGAATCCTGCTTGCTTTCGAGTGAAAATGGTGGGATCCTGCAATCAAACGTATACCCGTCTTCTCGCTCCATCCTGAAAGTACCCCTGAAAAAAAAAAACCCTTCACGTCACTCAGTACAAACATAGTAGAAAAAATTGACATCAAACTGACCACATGTGGCCACTGGGGGCCTGGAGGCTCACGTGAGAGCTGTACTGAAATGCCGGCTGGGTCTTGGAAAGCAGTGGCTCCTGGCCCACGACACCACGTCCACGAACAGTTTCCAGTGTGCCTGACAGACTGAAGATACGCCAATGGCGTTCCCGGAGCTGAACAGCAAGCTCACCCAGGTTCTCAAGCCTGATGCAGTAGCGCCACCAGAACACAGTTGAATTTTGAGACTCGCGACAACCCATGTAGAATGGAGTCACGGTCACACGCACGTTCTCTGTGGTCTCCTTGTGCACGTCGCTCAGCTCTAGCCAGGGGTGATTCTTCTCTTGCCATGCTCGCAATGTATCTCGAGCAATATACGGTGGTTCTAGGATGAAAAAACCATTTCAATCTCTCATCTATAACCCTCTTCCAACACTTGAAACCTTTCGCTTCAGGCAGATTAGAATATTATACAGTGATGTACAGTACAACAAATTTTGAATACTGGCCTCCAAATTTCTGTAAAATGTCAATAAAGATACGTACCAAGTTGTACATTACAGTACTACCGTAGAATTTCGTTATAAAGAATTGATACTTACATCAACAAAAAATTCCCGTTCCCTGTCCAATTGTCAGCATGGTATTTTAAATTTGTTGTAACAAATTTTCGTTCACAACGACACTCTTTTTAAGGTCCAAAATGCTTCATTTCAAGTAGCTTCTACTGTTTCACAATTACCTTAGAAATGCTGTAATGCACTGAAAAGCTTTCGAATTCCAAATTTTTGCTGGTCCCTTGAAGTCGGACTTAGAGAGGCTGAACTGTATTTTGTCTTACATTATCTACCAGTACTGCGACAGAAAATCAAAAAACCCAGAGACCAAAAATGTCGACATTCAGATCCCAGAATTTTTTTCCAAGATTTGAGATTGCACGCATTTTCTTTGTGAATTATCCACCGTAGAAAATTTAAAAAACCCAGTGACCAAAGAATTTCAACATTCACATCCTAAAAACATATTCAATGCAATCACTTACATTTCCATTCAACATCCCATCATTTATAGACAAGCCTTCCAACAAAAATTTGGCAAAATTACTATAATGTTATGTTCCAATCGTCGGTGTTAATCTGAAGTTCAGTTAATGATACCCTTAAATTAGGAGACTACATTTTATCCAGTCAATTAGAATCAATTCCAGTATCATTCCAAAAGCACAAAAATGGAGCTCAATTTGTAGAATAATGTTAAGCCAGATACAAGTGATGCAACAGCCCAAAAAATCCCTTTCTAACTGAACACCCATGACACAATCCACAAGAATATAAGGGGCATCTCAATGACTGGAAAGAATTTTTTTACGTCACAAAATTGAACTATAAATAGCTTTTCATGCTCACTAGCTTCAAGATACCAACGGTAAGAAACAAAGGTTTGCTAACAATTGATGTCATAATATGCAGGTAAAATTCCATCGTAATACAAGCATCTTACCTTTAACAGGATCATAGCTCAGAAACTTATCAAACAACTCATGGCTGAGTGCTACTGATGGGCCTTCTGTTGAGTTGTAAGGAAGAATATCCTCATGTGCCACATAGTCCAGACCAGGGATAGCATACAAAGATCTTGAGTTCTCCTGATTGCCCAGAAATGTCACAGCCTCAGTTTGCGCTCTCTGGCAACACAAGCAGAATTTGGAAATAGTAATAACCACAGAGTTCAAGCAAACCCAGATTTAAACCATGTACACTCATAGCCAAGTGATGAAAAATTCAATCTCCTGAATTTTGTTCAATATATCCTCATAATATGAAGTCACATAAGAAGCAAAAGCTTGCATGCAATCTACTGTACATTTAAGTTCATGAATAAGGTGAACTGCAAATCATTTTTGGCCGGAAAAATACCTCATAGATGTAATGTAGAAATACTTTTCCAAAGATATACAGAGAGCAGTTATTACCAATATCACGTGTTGCAGAACAACAAAAATTTATCTCTTCTTCTTTTATTTTAGACACTCAATAATTGAAGAAGATTCACAATAGATCAAAAGTGCATAATAAGGCTTAAAAAATCCACTCAATGGTCAAGTTACCCAACTACTCAACCCATGACATCATTTGAATGTTAGAATTGAACAAGCAAATGTTGAAAATACAATCAAACCACTTTAACTAGGATTTCAAGGGACCAGAAAAAAATATTTGAGTTTGGGAGGTTTTGAGTCAGGGAGGTTTCAAGTTTGGAAAATGAGCATTTTTGGCTCTGGGAAAGAAACACAAATTGTATGAAATTGAAAATGGTGATATTCTAGGCCTTACAGTGCTTCTTAAATAAGTTGACAGGGTGATAAGAAGGCAAGGGTTCATTTGCATAATCAGGCTATCACTTCCTTTCAAAACAAATCAAGTCACTTTTCATTGCTTTTTTTTCTTTCCTGTGTCAAGAAAATAATGACCAAAAGGCCTCAGAAAATTTGAGTTACAGAGGTTTGAGAGGAGAAGCCTTCAAGTTAGAGAGGTTTTTAATTACTTGTTTTCAAGGGAATTCAGACAAGAACTTGGAAACAATTTGAATTAAGGAGGCATTGACTTAAGATAAGTTTGAGTTATTGGGGGTAAACCGTACTGCATTCACTCAAGTACCACACAACCTCAAGTAAGATAAACACCAGGGTCTTTCAGTTGAACATTTCAACAAAATTGCACTGAAAAATGCACACCCAATTGAAAACATTAAAAATGGAATGTTCCAAAATAATACTGTAGCACCCAAATTTGAGTTTAGACACGCAGTAAACCTGAATTTAACTAATTTTGAATTGTTTCCATTAAAATAAGTTTATCTTCTGAATTTCTGAAACTTTTCAAGAAATGTAAACCCACCCCTGAAGAATACCCCCATGGTACTTGAGTAAATAATAAATAATGCATGACACAAGCTGACCAATGCAGGAATGAGACAGTGACTTGAAGCAAAACCAGCTTGTCAGTGAAGAGGCACTCAACACTGCTTCCACACATCCTACCTTTACTAGACAGAAACAACCTCACAGAATTTCTTACAAGGAATTTCTAAAAAATAGCCCCACAATTCGGAAGAGATGATACTTGCATTACTTACAATGTAGGGACAATCCCTGGAGTCTATGAGAACTTGATAATAAGCATGTGTACAGCCTTTCACATCGCGACTGACACCAATGCCAATGTTCATGTCCAAGGCATCTCTGAAAAGTCGGGAACACAGTTGAAACAACCAATTAAGTTATAATTGATCCATGACTACCTGGATGCATCTTTGTTTTGATTCGGTAAATCTCTGTCATACACCCTAGCAATCCACGGAAACAAAATCACCCCTCGGTATCCGAACACACGATGTAGGAACAGCTGCCCTGTTTCGTATTGACCTTGTATTTTTGGGGAGACCAGCTTCCCCACCTCTGCAAGGCTAAATACATGCAGTGCGATGATTAACGGCATTCATTTCGACCAATCAATAGATAGGATGGGAAAAAACTTACCGAGTAAGACACGGGGATGAATAATGCAAACACCGCTTAGCAATGTAAGTCTTCCATGTTTTGGTTCGGAGAATTCCTGGAACCAAAGTTAAATGCTTGGCAGGCTTCGGGCAGAGGATGTAAGACAACACGCGAAGAGACAGACAACGCATTTTTCACTTACACCCATGTAACGAAGATTAAGGTCAAACTGGAAAGGAATATTCATTAACTACAACACCTTCATAATCTCATTCTACACACGCCTCGGCAAGGAGGCCGACGAGCAATCAAAGCTGATTCGGGAATGTTTTCTAAAGAACTCGATCACATTCGCAACGAGTGGGCAATTTGCAAATTGCCTTTTATCCACGCGAACGAGTGGCACTGTTCTTCTGCAATGAAAATACAAAAGAAGCCAATTGACTGAAGAGAAACAAGCCCGCTCATTTTTCAAGAAATCTTCTCTCACAGGTAGGAGTAAAAGTATTGAACACGTAAATTACTTTCGCATTATTGATGATACTTTTTTACAGGTAGACTTTCTCCACAACAATTTGATCCACGTACAGAGCTTTTGTTGGTTCTAATAGTTACGTAGGTTCTTTAAAGTACTAAAATGGATTTCTAGTCCCCCGAATTTCGGTCGAGTCCACCCGTACAACCAACTCGAACGACTGTGGCGTCCTGCGAAATTCTTTGCCCACGAAGCCAGACTGAAATAAACACAACGATTTTCCACTTTTTAAGTGACCCCTTCACTACAGGGAGAAGTTCCTTAAGGTAAAGAAACGTACAAACTGCTTTGCGGTGCTAGGAGTGTTAGGACGTTCCAGGAANCTGCAAGCATGCGCAGTTCATGAAGTCACTCATTTTTGGTGTTGAGGGATGGAGTGGTAGGGAATAGCCCTCTGGAGGGGCAGCGTGGAAATGAGTTGCGTCGAGTTTGAAAGTGTACCATACCACTTACCACCTCTCACTTGCACACTACTCCGCTAGAGGGCTGTTACCTTCCGCTCTCGCCTTCAACGCCATCAATGAGTGACTTCATGGTCAGCGCATGCTTGTAGATAGCGATTTCAATGTTGAAATTCGCATAGCAAGACACGTACATACAGTAGATTAGCTGATGCCAAAAAGGTAGTGCTGGATACCAACTGACGTAAATAAAACCGTATAAGTGGTGCCTTGCAATTCGATCCTAATCCGTTGACAAACTAGGGTCAATTTGTGAAGTGGGCAAATTGCAAGACACTTGCTGAAATTAAAACATATCAGCACAAAAACGCAGAAATGAGGCCAAAGCAGGTCCAGCAGTTGCAGGGCAAGGGTCAAATTACAAGTCAACCTCCTTGCAAATTCAACCATCAAATTGCGTGAGGTCAATTTTAGATTCGATATACTGCTGAGATTTCATCATGTTTTCATAGGCAATCCTGCTGCATCAATGTGAAGATGTAACTGGTCTACTTCAGTATAGAATAAAGGGCTGCAACCTATTCCTAAATTGAATTTAGTTAGTACCTTGACAAAGGCAAAAGCTTATCTAATTTGAATTTTCAGAGAATCCCCAGCCAATCAACTTGTGACTCATACATTTCAAATCTCCTTTCATTAACATATGTTTTGTTCTAACCTCCCTCAATTGCAATTATTAAGCAGTCCTATAATTAATAATGGCATTAATTTGAGACTACAGCTTCAAGGAAATAAAAAAAATGCTGGCCAGGCTCTTCAAGCCCTACATGATTGAGTGATTATTAGCAGCTTCTTGAATGTAGGATATCCAAGAGTAACAATGACAGAAAATAATTTTTCGTCCTTAATAACCTGCATGATCAGGCCATGCATTATTGCCCCCACCCTGAAGACTCAATTCTTTGGTTACCGTCAACAGCAGCGTACACTTCGAATCTTCGGATTATCCTACGTGCGCAAGTTGAGGGGTTAAAAGAAAGAAATCTTCCACAGGTCTCAGAAGTTTAGTAAAATAACAGATCGGGCAAAGCCTGCTTCATTTGAAACTTTTTCTTTATTCAAAAACTTTCCCCACGGGCGCACACAAATTTCCACAGCACTGTATTCACACCGACTTCAAAATGAACTTCCTTCCAAGCCCCATCAACTCTAACTAACCGCAAACGCGAGCCATCACTGCTTAGAATACAAAAACGTCGCCAGCACACTGGAGAACATTTCAGGGTGGAATCCTTCCAAAAAATCAAAAAGTGGGAGGGGGACAACCACGCATCCCGAGCCATGCAAATTTCAAGTAAAAATCGAAATTCTTCCTCAGCTTGGAAATATGAAAATTTCATCACCAAAAACACAAACCAGGCTTCTTTTGTAAGAGTAAATCACCATCAGTTTCATTTTTTGCACCTAATCCCCACGAAATTATGACGAGGAAATCCGTCAAACTTCTGTAATGCACTTCAGTTTTATGTCTTTCGTTAGACCAACCCGCAGATAAAACCGCAGAATCTCGAGCTCCCCCACTGTTGTTGAAATCTACAGGACTTCCCATTCAGAACCAACGAACATCCTCGAAATTCGAATGCGAACAAGAATTTCGTCTTCAAATTACAGGAGGAAATGGGGATATGCACCTCAAGCAATCTCGAAAGCCGATTCGACCTCAATCACAACAAAGAAATTCGAAGTACTTCCAATTTCCACCCGAAATCTTCCCTTCGCGTACAAGCAACATTCTCTGGCTGAACAAGCTTATGTATAGATGTTTTCAGTGCGCTATATATGTCACACGAATCGATTCTGGAAATTCGATTAGGAATTTGGGATATCGAAATGGGAAATTCTTCAGTACACCATCAACAATAGAACTATTCTCAGAGGACACAAACCGGCTAGGGCCTTGGAAAAAAAGCTTCCATGAACGCAGCTTATTTAGACGAGAGCAACACACGTAAAAAAAAACCTTACACCCACGACCATCTCGAAAATGAGAAGAAATTTCATAAAACGAACCACAGAAGCTCGAGTGACAAAAGGGAGCCTCAGCAACAACAAAATCTCTCCAAGTGGAATCTTGTCGATTCCCCGAACACCGACCATTAATTAAAAGATTCCAGAATTTGTGCCAATTTCGATGCAACGTGATCTACTCCAGACAGCGCAAAATTTTCCAGCAACGATTTCCCTCGCCCAAGACTTGCAAAAGAGTCAAGCATCAACCCCCGACAAAATCACGTGAACTCATCTCCGGGGATTAACAAAAATAAATTAAAATGCAGAATAAATAATTTGAAATCACAGAAAAAAATATCCGACACCGAATAGAGAATTTTCGAACGAAATGCGCTGAAGCACGTGAATTTACGAACATAGAGAGAAGATTTCCGATCATGAATCAAGCAAAAGCAGAACACCGAACTGCGAAAAGTTTACTCGGAAACTGTTGCAAATTCTTCAATCTTCTTCCGGGACAAGAGCATAAGCTTCTTCGGCCTTGACATAGTACTTGTTGGCCAATCGTCCCTTCATCGCCGCCATAGCTTCTTCAGCAGCTTCATTGAACAGATCCCCAGCTCTGGATGGATCCGCTTCCAGTCCATGACCGCCAGTCATCAGCAACTCAGCCAGCCTAGCCTTCAGTTCGAATACGGGATCCATTGTGGCGCCGTCAGTGCCACAACAACCTTCGTCAGTCGAGTCGTCCCCAGGGTCTTCTCTGGTG